TTTTGCCTGTCCGACAAATAAAAATATATTTTTACTGCATTACATATTATATTATAGGTAACTATATACATACACGCTATGTATGCTGCGGAAATATTTATACAACTTTACAGAGCAATTAATACACCATGCGATGCCAAAATGTTGTTAAAATTATAATGTATAGACAGTTGCACATAACACACACACTCACACACGAAAAGAATATGTACTGTACTGCGGTTTCCGTTCATTTTTATTACATTTTAATTTTCCGACAAAAACTAGATCTTTATAGAATTTTCACGCGCTATTTTTATAAATAGATATTCAGTATAAAGACAATCTTCGAGTCTTATTGCGTCCTGTAAATAAATTGCCGAATTCGTATAAGATTCGTAAACGTATGTATCATAAACCGTACCACTTTGTTAGTAGTTACCCGAGCACTGGAAAAAAAAACATTTGCGCTTGAAGGTGATGTTTCGTAGAGGGTCGCCTTTAAGTCTTCCATCCTAGCGTCTGTACAGATTCTCCTATAGTACTTTAACTCCACGTAATAAATATTACGTTTAACATATTATGAGACCGATGCTTTTATAATATGAATTTGTGATAAATAGATATACCAATACATTATATCGTTTTGTACATATATATATATATATATAAATATCTGCATAAAACATATGGCTGTATCTATTTTCATTGTAAATTTTATTGTCCGATTACAGAGGCAGATATTAAGGCAGATATGAAATTTATACTCTATCGCATATTTCACGTTTACTAAAAAAAAAGACAGATAACTAGAAGTCTTTCTTTTTCCTACACTTGCCCGATATTTAAAAAAATGGATGCTTCCGCTTGAACACATAGCGCTTTCATATAATTATCGAATGCAAATGGCATTCCTTGGAAACGTAAAAATATAAATCGTTTACCTTTTCAGCACAGTTTCCCTTTTAACGTTGTATCTTATTCTTATTTACGCGATTAGAAGCATAGAAAGCGATGTGTGCGCGCGTACGTATGATAGTTAATATGTATAAAACGTATGGTTTTTTTTGCAAAGAAATTATTATTGATAATGATTATACACAGAAATACAATTACACGTTATTCAACTGTATACAATAGTTGTACCGAAACCCGATGACTGTATACACAAGCGGAGCCATTCTCATCTTTCCGAAAAGCGCCAAATTTCTAAAAGATACGCAATATTTCTTACAAAAATAAAATTGTGCCTGAAATAATTTATTTAACCAATATGTATATTTGCATTTGTATATTATATCCTATGCCAAAACTTTTAACATATATGTATAGATGTATAAAACGAATATACATGAAATTTTAATAAACATTTCATCTCTCGTAATACAAAAGTAAAACGAACAAAAACTATTATTTCGTCTCAAAAAATTACATTTATAAATATCTCTTTCTAATCAATAAAGTATATCCAGTCAACAAATATATAAAAATCCACCAGACGAAAGTATTGCAAAGAGATGGCATGCTCTATTCCTAATGATTAAGATAATAAAAATGGGAAGTACGTTCTGAATGATTTATTTGATGGCATTAACCATTGTCCATTCGATCAGTAAATACATATTAATATTATATAACGACCCAATTCCCCACATTTTCATATTTTATATATATATATATAAAATATGAAAATGTGGGGAATTGGGTCGTTATATAATATTAATATGTATTTACTGATCGAATGGACAATGGTTAATGCCATCAAATAAATCATTCAGAACGTACTTCCCATTTTTATTATCTTAATCATTAGGAATAGAGCATGCCATCTCTTTGCAATACTTTCGTCTGGTGGATTTTTATATATTTGTTGACTGGATATACTTTATTGATTAGAAAGAGATATTTATAAATGTAATTTTTTGAGACGAAATAATAGTTTTTGTTCGTTTTACTTTTGTATTACGAGAGATGAAATGTTTATTAAAATTTCATGTATATTCGTTTTATACATCTATACATATATGTTAAAAGTTTTGGCATAGGATATAATATACAAATGCAAATATACATATTGGTTAAATAAATTATTTCAGGCACAATTTTATTTTTGTAAGAAATATTGCGTATCTTTTAGAAATTTGGCGCTTTTCGGAAAGATGAGAATGGCTCCGCTTGTGTATACAGTCATCGGGTTTCGGTACAACTATTGTATACAGTTGAATAACGTGTAATTGTATTTCTGTGTATAATCATTATCAATAATAATTTCTTTGCAAAAAAAACCATACGTTTTATACATATTAACTATCATACGTACGCGCGCACACATCGCTTTCTATGCTTCTAATCGCGTAAATAAGAATAAGATACAACGTTAAAAGGGAAACTGTGCTGAAAAGGTAAACGATTTATATTTTTACGTTTCCAAGGAATGCCATTTGCATTCGATAATTATATGAAAGCGCTATGTGTTCAAGCGGAAGCATCCATTTTTTTAAATATCGGGCAAGTGTAGGAAAAAGAAAGACTTCTAGTTATCTGTCTTTTTTTTTAGTAAACGTGAAATATGCGATAGAGTATAAATTTCATATCTGCCTTAATATCTGCCTCTGTAATCGGACAATAAAATTTACAATGAAAATAGATACAGCCATATGTTTTATGCAGATATTTATATATATATATATATATGTACAAAACGATATAATGTATTGGTATATCTATTTATCACAAATTCATATTATAAAAGCATCGGTCTCATAATATGTTAAACGTAATATTTATTACGTGGAGTTAAAGTACTATAGGAGAATCTGTACAGACGCTAGGATGGAAGACTTAAAGGCGACCCTCTACGAAACATCACCTTCAAGCGCAAATGTTTTTTTTTCCAGTGCTCGGGTAACTACTAACAAAGTGGTACGGTTTATGATACATACGTTTACGAATCTTATACGAATTCGGCAATTTATTTACAGGACGCAATAAGACTCGAAGATTGTCTTTATACTGAATATCTATTTATAAAAATAGCGCGTGAAAATTCTATAAAGATCTAGTTTTTGTCGGAAAATTAAAATGTAATAAAAATGAACGGAAACCGCAGTACAGTACATATTCTTTTCGTGTGTGAGTGTGTGTGTTATGTGCAACTGTCTATACATTATAATTTTAACAACATTTTGGCATCGCATGGTGTATTAATTGCTCTGTAAAGTTGTATAAATATTTCCGCAGCATACATAGCGTGTATGTATATAGTTACCTATAATATAATATGTAATGCAGTAAAAATATATTTTTATTTGTCGGACAGGCAAAATGAAAAATTATAATATGGACAGAAATTGCAAATATGTTACATTACACTCATCATCCAGCATATACTATACGTTAAAAGCTGACAAACGCACGTTATTTCGTTTCCTCCCATGTACATTGGACTTTACAGCCGTTCTATTATAAATATGATCGTTACAATACTCTGACTTTCATATAATAAAATATAAAAATAATAATAAATTGTAATTATTCTTCCTCCATCAACGGCATTCTGAAAATCCAACGGAACTTCAGATTACACTTTAATTCTTATAGACGTAACCAGTCATACAATATATAAGACTATCTTATATTTAAAGTTCTAACCGGTAGGTACAAAATATTAAATTATATCGTACATAAGTCAATTAGTAGCACGTATGATACACGATTATATTAATAGTACATTAATGGTATTCTAATATCCTTGTCATATAGTAAAATGTGAATATGATACAACTTCTAAGTTCTTTTTTTTTTCCTTAGTAATCATGTTTCTGGATGATCTTTGGAAGATTTAATTGCAAGCTTTACGAAATAAATACTTTACATAGCTGTGAGATTTAAATATTTTATAGCAATTTTATAGCCATAAAAATGCAATTTTGTAATAAGATTCATGAATTTACTCAATATATTATCTGTAAAGTATCTAAAATTAATGCATATTGCATTATAAAAAGAACGTGAACTTGATATCGAATTAACTTTCTTTCCAATAATCGTAATAGAATAGATCGATTAAAAAGAAATTCTATTATTAATAATGTGAATAACCTTGCACCAGACTGAGTAGTTTTATAAGAGAGAAAAGATGCAGCCTGATATCATGGCTTACCCTTATCTCGCGCATTATCTAAAGTTATAAATCCATGGAAGTAGCGCCATATAAAAGCAATTATTCGGACTCTAATTTATCGTGCTCTTCATTCTTAATAAGCTATAAAGGCTGATTTGCTAATATTTACGTTATTATAATATATTTATTGTAAATGGTGTTCTTGCTATGTACTATTATTCAAATTACATAAATCATCTATATCAAATCCGATATATTGAATTAAGTGTCAAAATTTTTGTTTATAAATTGTTATGCTGTACATTTGTTGATTAAAAAAATTCTAATAATACTAATAATTCTAAATAAATAAAAACCAATAAACGGTTTTTGTACTAATGTTACAAAAATGTATCAAAAGAAAGTACATTAGAAATATTATAGGCTCGTTCTTTATTGAAGAACTTTCTGACAGCAGGTGCAATAAATTGAAGAGAAACAAATCATATTTGTTTCACTTTAATTTATTGCATTCTCGTATGAACACTAGTTCAGAGAGATCATCGATAAAGAACAGATCGTATATACTAAAAATGTGTATGATTCATTTTCTAAATCCTGAATAACTTTTTTCTCATAATAATCCTTCGATGTACATGACAGTGAGAAGATAGATAAATCAAAAAAATATATTAATATATTCAAAAATAATTTGGACATATATATTAAGGTGACATGCATTACAGCATTGGCTTGTAAATTTCGGATTGGATTATCTCGATAAATTACGTAGCGTTACTAACAAATATCGATCTTTAATTTGAAACATGTATAATATATATTTTCGTCTTTTAGAATGTTATTAGTAAATCAGCCATAACTTTGATTCTTAAATTCAGTCAATATATAAAATGCTTTGGATAATGAATAGTTGACTAATATATATCACAAGTTATTTTCTCCCATAAGGACAGTACAGATAATGCTACGACTAAAAACTTTTTCTTTCTCACCCTTTGTTTCAATACGCCTCACATTCTCGTATGCTTTGTCATATCCACATTATAAGGTCCCGGACAGTAGAATCTTTGCACACAATCAACAGAAATATATTGATATTTATCGACAAATTAATAAGATTAATATTTATAGTTTTTCATAATTAATGTTATAAAAAAATTAATAAAAAAGAGAGAGTGATTAGAAACTGTACCTAGAAAGAAGGCCAATATAAAATTTCTCTATCGGAGTGATTATGATTCTTTAATACAAATAACAAAAATAATACAAATTATACATGTATTATTGGAAATTATAAAGAATTGAGAAACGTCTAAATTTGAAAGTATATTTATAACGATTAGGTTTAAGATTGTTATTGCAAACCATACTTGCAATGGAAATTCTTCCATTATGGTACATCTTTCTTAGCCGTACATACGGTATACATACGATATTTTTACATCTAGTTTAGACAATATGTAAAAACAGTTTGCCAAGAGATGTATATAATACATCAAATATTCCACAATAATTAAACAGAAGTATAACACAAATGTTTGGTAGAATCCAAACAATCTCTTTCAAAAATCATTAAAATCGATCGGTAACAATGATATCTTTACAAAATTTCACATACCTCCATTTAAAATCGGAGCAGTAACCTTGCGTGTGTTTACATCCGTTTATATCCATACATATGTTTAGGATAAAATAGCAATGCTACGTCTAGGTCCGCCTATGCACACATTGTCTAAGCTGGACCACTTTTTAATACCGGTACGTAGAGCCTCGGCTGTGACCTTATCTTCGTAAACTCTGGACATAGCTTCCAGCTTCTGCGCCTTTTCTTTACTAAGTGGTTCGCTAGGGAATGTTAATTCATTCGCTTCCGCGAGTGTACGAAGATCGAAATAATATTTGGCATACACACTCGAAGGAACATTTATGTTAAATTGCAGCATCTCCAGAAACTGTCTCTCTAATTCGTTCCTAATTAGAAATTACAATAATTATTTTCAAAAAAAGAAAATACAATAATCTAAACGTAATTGAAAATAGACTTACATATCTTCCACCGTGATGTCTTTCAGTATTTGACAGTAATCCACATTCCACACCGCCTGATCGTCCCAAACTTTGGACGCCAATAAAATAGCTCCCAGTACTATACGTTTCCAGTTGGCCGGTGTTATGTCTATTTCTGCATAAGTAAGTAGGCGTTCAAGATAAACCAACGTTATGATGGCACATTCAGCAGTAAGCTGAGCGGCATTGAACAGAGTCCTTATAAATTTATATATCTGCTTGTGCTCTGGATTATGTTTGTCGTAATCCTCTGAAACACCATCCCTCTGAAAAATAGATTTACTCAAGCACTGCCCTATAATTTTGCGCAGGAAAATCTTAAGACTTCTTTCTGTACCAGTCATGTAATTGACATTAAATGAGTAAATATACGAAAATACAAAACAATAGAAATAGATCACTGGTCTAGCAGCTAATATACTAGACGTTTCCCAACAAAAAACACAGATGACACAGTATAACACAGTGACATTTATCTTTGTTGTTTGCCAATGTTAGCCTAATATTTTATATGTTGTAGGAAAAGTAAACTTTTAGCCCATTGATTGGTTGTTTGGCTATA